GAAGCAAGCAAGGTTTTGGAATGCTACAAGTAACAAGAAGCTGCTAGGGGCGGCCTTACTACTAGGAGCAAGAAGCTACTAGTAACAAGAAGCTACTAGGAGCATGTGGCTACAAGTTGGACGTGTTTTTGTGCGAAATGTTCAAACGCTGTGCAGTGCAGCGCGGTGCTCTGGTTTGAGCGATCCTTACAGCGTGTCGTTGCCTGCAGACGTGATTGATGTGGGGTGTCTGGAACACTCTCCTAAGGTCCTACTGTAGGAGGCCATCGCTCGTAGCTTGGAGGCCATCGCTAGGTTGGCGCAAGGAGTCCACCGTGTCGGACTTCGCTGCTCATCCCTCATCGCCCATCGCTCGCTTCGTGTGTCCGCTTCCAAGCGGCAACAGGAGCCGGGAAGATCGTGCCAAAGGCGCCTGCTAAACCTGCAAGGATGTAGGCTCGCCTGGCGTGCGAATGTGAATCCAGGGAAAACGTCGACGTGTTGCATCTGAGATGAACAAAGAAGACCTTGGTGCAAATTGAAAGGCAACAAGGTGACCAAAAAAGAAAGGATAAAAAAGGTCCAAAGGGAGAAAGAAAGGGAGATAATTATAAGGTGTATATATACATATAGAAACAATGTTCGCTACTAGGAACAAGTGCATCGCTACTAGGAGCAAGGGCCTTACTACTAGGAACAAAAAGCTATCAATTTTTATTCTAATAGCAAACATTGTTACTAGTAGCGATGCACTTGTTACTAGAAGCGATGCACCTTGCTCCTAGTAGCGAACATTGTTACTACTAGTAAGGCACCTGTTACTACTAGCGTGGCACTTGTTACTACTAGCTTCTTGTTAGGAATGGGAAAGAAAAGTCTCCGACTCACGGTGACTTGGACTGCCTTCGCTGATCGGCTGCGGTCTCGTTGGTAGAGGGCAAAACCCTGAGCATTTCGAAGAAAGCGTCTCAACTCCAAAGGTCCAGAGAGCGCTCCTAGTAGTAACAGGTGCATCGCTAGTAGTAACAAGAAGCTATTATAATTAAACTTAGTAGCTTCTGTTTCACTAGTAGTAAGAATGCTCCTAGTAGCGATGCCAGGAGCCCCTAGTTGCTTCTTGCTCCTGGTAGCGATGCCCGTTGTTACTAGGAGCTTCTGTGAGAGAGCAAACAAAAAAGAAGAAACCGCTTCGCCGGTCCAAAGAGCAAGGATTTACTTGTTTTTCGCCCAGCGTCTTCTCAACACCCTTCCAAAGCAAAAAGCCAAAGGCTGCACCAACGGACCCCAAGCCCGCCTGCCACTTGCGATGCACGAAAACGCCGCGATGGAAGGCTTTCAAGACATTCTCTTGAGGGTTTAGGGCCTCCAACCTAATAGCAATGGCCTCCAACCTAGTAGTGACGGCCTCCAATCTAAGGGCGATGGCCTCCAACCTACTATATAGAGATGGCCTCCAGGCATTCTCTTAAGGGTTTAGGTCATTTAGGTGTTGAATGGCCAACAAGAACGCTTTGCCTTTACTAGAAGGCTGCTTAAGTATTAGGTCTGGGTCTGCACTACCCGTTGCCTTACATGACCCCAAAACTTTTGGGCCCACTTGAAATAGGAACTCAACTTCGTCATGTCCAAAGAAGCGTACCGACAGAAAATAGTCAACGCTGGTATAAAAAATGTCTGGCCGAGAAAAGGGCCTATATATAACTGTACTTTACATCCGCCTTTCATAAAATTATTTCAGCTCAAGATTGATCAAAACATGATTGTGCATGGCACTTGTTAAGGAAAATACCAATTGACCGATTCTGAATAGATCAGGTGTGGTATTCAACCGACGTGGGATCTTGGGCAGCGCCATTTTCCGGTCTTGCTCATTACCGGAATGTATAGATCAGACTGTTTAAAGCAAAGGACGCTACCAGAAACAAAGGGCATCGCTACTAGGAGCAAGGAGGCCTTACTGCTAGTAACAAGAAGCTGCTAGGTTGGAGGCCTTTGGTATTCGGATGTAGATCAGCAGTCAAACTCTGTTGGTTTGACTTTAAAAAGTCGATGATAATCTGGTTGCGGATATGGACTTGCACCTCCAAACCCATCACTGCACCAGCACCAAGCGAAGCAATGCAGCAAATCACCACCTGGAATTGCAACGTGTTAGTTGAAAGAATGGAGATCATTGGAAGCATTACCCAGGTAGAAGCTGCATTCTTGAACACAGAAAGAGTGTTCGTAAGTAGTAGTACTGGATCAGAATGCATTCAGCGTTGGAAGACCAAACCACAAACTCTGCGCACAAAAGAATGTTGTTCCTAGTAGCGTCCTTGCACCTAGTAGTATGGCCAAGAGCCCCTAGTAGCGTCCTTGCTCCTACTAGTATGGCTACTAGGGGCTCCTAGTAGCGTCCTTGCTCCTAGTAGCGATGCCCTTTGCTCCTAGTAGCGTCCGATCGCTCCTAGTGCTCCTAGTTGTTTTTCAGAGCCTTCAAATTCACCATGGGATCCACGTGCTGGTGTTTCAGCTCGTCGATAAAAGATGGATACCTCAAAGTGAGTTTCAGGAAAGAAATCATTACGGGAGCGTAAATCAAAGGACATTGATAAACACTGTTAGAAAAGATAAATGTAGCATTAAGTCAAATTAGCCCAGCTGGAGACCCCAATAGCAAGATACAAACCGGGACAAAAAGAAAAAACTGGAAACAGCTGCTGTTTTCAACACATCGACCATCTCTTCCTTGGACACCATCAAAACATGACCGGGACACCATCACAACATGACTGGGACACAATCACAACATGACCGGGACACCACCACAAGGTGACCGGGACACCAACATGACATGAAGAGAAAACCATCACAAGATGACCAGGACACCATCACAACATGACCGGGACACCGTCACATGACCCGGACACCATCAAAACATGACCGGCACACCGCCAAAACATGACCAGGACACCATCACAACAGGACCGGGACACCATCAAAACATGACCGGGACACCATCACAACATGACCGGGACACCATCAAAACATGACCGGGACACAATCAAAACAGGACCGGGACACCATCACAACATGACTGGGACACAATCAAAACATGATCGG